TCGAAGCTGAGCTACCACCGACTTGGTCGTGGCGCTTCCCGGCGGTATATTTAACATCTTATCAGATAGCTTTGCCTATCACTGCCATTAAACAAAGCAATTTTGTGTTAAGAATTCTTAAGTTAAACAAATTCAGCAGGGCTGCATGCCTGAAACATGTGGCTTCCAAGAAAAATTGTTTACGCTATTGAAACCGGTAGCCGCACAGCGGTGCTCGTGACTAGCAACTGATTCGCAAGGCAGTCAGTCGAACGCTGAATTGCGGATTCGTACCCACATATGGTTCGCTGGTCTCCCACCCTTCACGCATGTAAGCGAGAAAGTAGCATCGCGTGCGACCCAAAACGACTGATAGTTGTTCTTACATGGACGTTCATGTACCAAACAGGAAAAGTGCGTTGTTAACGTGGGCGGCGCTTCTTGCGATCATCACCTGGAGTCATTTGCATAAACAGAACGTCTCTGATTTGTGAACTCTTCAAAGCTTATTCTATAAGGCACCGGAATGAACTATTCAACCCCATACCCAGATCTTCTTCAATATGGTTCACTAGGTTCCTGCTGTCCGCTTAGTCGATGCTTTTGTGTTGCGGCTCCCATTCGAGAAGCTCATCAGCTGCAGTCAATGACTGATGTCCACAACCAATTGGTCTAATGGGGTTAACCTTCTTTTGTTGATACCCGCATTTACTGAGGTAACCTGTGCCTTGAGGACAGTATAATCGTCCTGTTAATTACATCATGAATGTAGTCAGGGCATAAAAGATGGTTATTGGACAACACGGTATAAAAGTTTTGCCAACGTACACACAGAACAATTCCACCCATCTTCACGTGTCATTTATAACGCATAAAAATGATATTTTTGTTCTGCGCTAATTTAATCAGCAAATCACCTTTGACCTTCTAGCCTGCTAACCGAAGAAAAATTTAACTTTATCACGTTAAAAACCTTTATTAGATATGGAAAGAGCACAACACACGGTAGATGCACAACGTAAACAATTGGTCAATCCGATAATCGATCAGTACGGACATGGCAGCCCATGTCTCACGGGCATTCTTCAAGCTGGCTTAGAAAGTCCCTTTTTTCATATGTAATCCGTTCTTAAACTTGGAGCCAAAAGTTGAGTTATTGGTCCCTCCTGTGAGACAAGTAATTCGTTGATAACAAGTGCGACAAGCCTCGTCCAATCCGCACAGAGTTCGCATCTTTTTTCACGAGTGGTTTGAAGCGAGACTGGATGATTAAAGACTTCTTGATTGCCCGTTCCGTTTTTCCTTCGGGAAACGTGTCCATTTAGTGCCGTGTTCTGCAAAATCCCGGAGATTCTTTTGCATTTGACCCCGATCTGACTGATGAGAAAGTCTTGGTTTCTTCCTGAGTGTTTCGTCACAACATGTCGTCACGTACATCCTTGATTAGTCCTCTTCTCAGCTTGGCAGGCGAGTCCTTGTTTCGACCGACTCTGCTCCTCCTCTCACTTGCACAGTATCTGGCGCAGTTGCATGGTAATTTATAGGTCCAGCCCATCGAATATCATTTTTAAAGTTTCTTAATAAAGTGCTAAGTTTACCAGAACTTTTATATGCTACGTTAATGTTAGTGTTAATGTTACTGATTAATGTAACTTATAACAAAATTTTTACGATAAAGGCGAATTAACAAAGGTTTGTTACATAAAAGATTATATTTGAGATTATTGCTGTTACGAGTTAATTTAGGAAGCATTATTCTATGGTTTATTCAGAATTTAACTCCATTGTTTTCTCATCACATAATCACAATTTGATTTATTTTGTTCCGCTGCAGCTGCCATACGTGGGAACTTTCGATACCGCTGGCAATATGCGACATGTAAAATGCCGATATCTGATTTACACCGACGCTGCGGTAGCACTTTACACCGATCGATAGAAGCCTTTACACTGGGTTGTACCGCCACATCGCATCGCCAGTTTGCTTCCAGTCGTTAGAGGGGTCATTTATTGTTTTATTTCTTCTTTCAGAAATTCACTCAATGCTTTCTATTAAAGTTGAAATCACAGGTTATTTATTGTTGAAACGCTTTCGCGAATTCAAGTCTATATATTTATCAGGGATAGTTGGTGTATGAAAACTTAAGTCTCAAAGTTAATGATGTCAACAGGTCAGGAAAACGTAGACCAGTTATTTTCTCTCTCTCTCTCTCTCAATGGCTGGCAGAAGAGTCACTGAAAAGGTTTACAAGTTTAGAACTTTATTTTTATCACCAATCTGGCAGATGGCAAAAACATGGTCAATATTGTCTGGATTGACTGAACCGGTCAATATTCAGTGACGAATCGCGCCGGCCGCAACACTCGTGTTGTTACAGTGCATGAAAGTTTCGCCATCCGCGTACAGAACTGAAAATGGCCCAAGGGAATTCGTACAGGCGGGTCCACAAACTCCATGTGATACTGTATCGAAGTTCCGTTGACAACGACTGTCTGACAGCAAGCAGCCGTGACACTGGCAGCCATTTTCCTCAAGGGGCGGATTGCTTTCATTTGTCATGTGACTGCTGTTGGGCGTCGTTACTTTTCCTTTGCGAATAGAACTTGTCGGGCTCGAACCGAGCCACACCCTGGTGGTCTCAGCCCTGCCTATCTACGGTCAGCAGATATTTCGAAAATCCATGGAAGCAACGCTCTATTCGCGTCCCGATCAATAATTCGAGTGTTCCATGACATTTGTGGCAATGATGGGAGAAATGTCGCTTTCCAAGAATGATCGTTTAGTTTCTTTGAGC